TAGCGTTAGGTTAGGTTCAGAAACTGGTTTTACGATAGCTTTATGTGGCGTTAGGTTAGGTTCAGAAACTGGTTTTACTTTAGTTTCATGCAGCTGTATGGTGAAGAAATACACATCAACACCAATTCACCTACTTGTAAACAAACTACGGGGACCACGATAGCTACACAAACACAATAAATTTAAGTTTTGTCTCAACACTTCATTCCGTTATGTGATTATATTGCCACCGTTATACATACACACATGCACACTAACACACGCACACGCATATATATATATATATATATATATATATATATATATATATATATATATATATATATATATATATATATATAAATAAGTTTATATATATATATATATATATATATATGTATATATATGTATATATATGTATATATATATATATATATATATATATATATATATATATATATATATATATATATATATATAAATCGAGATGATCTAGAATGTCTAGATCTAGAATATCTAGATCTAGAATCCAAATAGAATTTTTTTAAAGTTTACCCCGAGCAAAATGGTATTGTATAAATTTTATAGCGTACGTAGATCTAAATAATATTTGAATGAAATAGTTCTTTTTATTCTAAACACGGCAGATGACGTCATTAGTTAATGTATAAACATTAGTGACGTCACAGTTTTATGCATTCTTTTTCACAATTATAAATGCTTTTCCTGTTGCATAATTCAAACTGTTTTTCTACATTCGAATACGCCTTTATTTTTTATTTTTCTTCTTTAAATAAAATTGTGGTTATACATTTAAAACATCTACCATATTATTTTTAACAAAAGTCCGTAGCAAGTTCCCCATATATCGCTGAAGATTCTGACGTAATATCCGGCGAAAATATTTTGCGAACAGACAGACAAGAGAGAAAGAGAGAGAGAGAGAAGTGCGCACATTGGCTTTTATATATTAGGATATACACACACACTCACATATATATATATAAATAAATAAATAAATAAATATATATATATATATATATATATATATATATATATATATATGTAACCAATGTTATGAATAAAGCAACACGCTTTCTTCGTCACAATGTATTTATATATATATATATATATATATATATATATATATATATATATATATATATATATATATATATATATATATATGTAACTAGTGTAGAGTTGGTATACCTATACAACTGCACCCCCCATGCCACAACCGGCTTTTCGCCACACATGTTACTGTTCGGACGGGAGGCTTGACTCTCTCTTGATTTGTTCCTAGGAAAAAAGGAAAGCATGACTGGCTCATACACCGCACTGGAATATGTGAATGAACATATGAGACGAATAAGGGAAAATGTACAGGGTGGTACAAGGAAGACTAGAACATGAAGCACGGCGAAGAGAACCACCGGTACAGACAAAAGACCCGCCACTCCAACTAAACGACAAAGTATTACTGCGTAGCCACCCATTAGGCAGAAACAAAATCCACGACCTCTGGGGACAGGAGATATGGCAAGTCGTGGAGATGCCTAAAGTAGCCGGTGGCCCCATTAAAATAAGACCCACCAATCACACCAAACCGGATCGGTGGGCGAATATAACTCAATTAAAGAAGTATTGGCATAGTCAAGAAGAGCATTTACACACAAAGAAACCTAAGACAATTAGGGAACCGGAAACTACAACGGAAATTCACATACCCATCCCGGAACCATGTCACCATCAACAGCACAACAGCGATACACAAGTGGAGAATAACTGCAACAATGAGGATCCCGGTCCTCCCAGAAGCAGAGAGACATTAGAACATCAGATAAGTGGTCCGCGGAAAGTTTTAGGAACAGAAAGAATACGAAATTTTTCGTCAGCAACCATCAAATGGTCGCGCTGGGATGAGAACAGACTGTTCAAAAGCTATAAAACTGAACTGGTGAAGACACCAAACGAAAAAAGGCGGAGGTGGATGTGAATTCTAGAGCTGCTTTGTGTCTGAGGAATATGATGTAGACACATTTGATATGTTGAAATAGGAATAACTGTCAATCTTATACGAATGTGACGACATTGACAGTGAGTGGAACAGTAATTTTTTTTTCTTACGGTGGTGCGTTTGACATTGAAGGAGTGCGCCTGCCAAGCGTTGTTTGTGGTTCAAAACACACACAAAAAGGTGGGGGTGGATGTAACTAGTGTAGTTACTAGGGACGATAAGAAAGTAATACAGTCTGTCAACTAAAGACTATTGTAAGAACGCATTACAGGCTGACGCAATAGTGCAGGTGGTGGACTGATAAGAACACAAAGCCACGGCGTATTTTGGGAAGCGATACGACAAGCCGCTGCGTAGTTAATAGTCTGATGCAACGAATGGAAAGTATTACATATACGAGGGATATAATATAAGGCTGCGTATTGGAGACGGCAGAACCAAGTTGGAGACTGAACGGTGTAGACGTATTGTGTTATGTGAGAATAGGAACGATGGACACGT